TTTTTTTTTTTTAGCAATTTAACGGTTTTCGATTATGTCATTGTATCAGTTTACATCGACTGAATTATCACCTGATCTTCCCATTTGTTTGTATGAAATAAGTGGTCGATTAATTTACGGTACTGAGGAAGAATTACATGAAATGGAATCGAATGCATTGGTTTGTTAAGTATCCAATTTTCTAAATAAATCATCCAATTTTGATAAATGTATTTTGTATTAAGTTAGATAGCAGATTGTTGAATAGCTGCTATTTATTTTTATTCTTAAATAATTTATGTTTAATTTCTTTCGTAATATGTACTAATTTTTTTTATAGTTTGTTATCCTACCAAATTTGACTTATCTTTCGATATCAATGTCAAATAAATTCGTTAATATATAAATAAAAAATAAGCATGCGAATAATTTTTTACTCTTTTGATATAATATCTGAAAATGAATTTGTTCACTTCTAAATGTCTCGAAAGCCGAGGGGTGAATAAGTAGTGTATGTGAAAGTTATAAATATCTATTTGCAAAATTTAATGCTTTATTATGAAATTATCCAGTTCTACTTTTACTAGGATAGATCATGTTATACATTTGAAATGTATCACTATTTTGCATTGATAAATTTGTGAAAATATGAGTGAAATTACCAGAAGTGATAAATGTTTCAGTTAGGCGTATTTCCAAAAATTGAAAATGGTTTGCTAAACCGATTGCAACAATCATTATCACGTGATGGTAATCGTGAAACTTTTATGGACAGTCAAGGAAGTCGATTTCAGCAAGTCGTAAGTAGTTGGTTAGTGAGGAATATTTTCTGTTTTTCAATTTGAAATAATAATTGCTTGAAATTGAAAGAAAGGAAAAATTTTCATTAAGCAAATTTAATATAGCAAAAAATATTCATGGTTCATTGTAATGTATGGATTGTATCATTTGCTGCTTTGTTATTTTCCTAACTTTTCATTGATAAATAGTAAATTTTTTTACTAACTTTGAGGACAACCAAAGGTATCGAGAGTTTGGTTAATTGTGTTAAAAATGCTGTGAATAGTACTATTCCCTACAGTGGTTGGCTTTCATCTGCAGGTCAAATTTTCAATAAAGCTCAGATCGATATCATTAATGTTTTTGCTAAATCTGAAGAAAGCTTATATGATTCCATTATGCAAACTTCATCTACATTAAATTGGTAATATTTTTGACTGATAAAATGTTTATGTGAAACATATTTGGTTTAATAAAGTTACCATTTGGTCTTGGATCTACTGATTACAAAGAACAAATTTATTATACATAAAGTATAATGTCGCTTTATGTATAACATGGCTTTTATGTCGACATTTACAATGTGCCTCCGTTACACATAATTAGCAATCCTTGGCTTGTGCCTGGACTATTATAGTCTGTGCCTGAGCTAAATCTCTCTAAATATTTAAAATTTTTGTTTTATTTGGATTTTAATGAAATAGTTTTATCATATGGATAGAAGTATTGTGAATATGGCTTATTATTTTAGGTTAACAAATTGGGCTCGTTGTATTGCGATACATAATAGCTGTCGTCGAATTGCAGTATGTCAAAATAACGATTATATTAGAGTATTTTGTTGCAACTCTGATCGAATACCTATTACACTAAAACACCATTATCAGCAGAATGTAACTGATATGGCTTGGAAGTAAATAATTCAATTCTTTTTCTTACTGTCAAATTTTAGTTAATAACTAAATCTTATGAGTTATCAACATTCAGTTTTGAAAATCATTTTGAATTATTTTAATTCTCAATAACACCTTTACAAAAATCGTTTTTGTAGCATAACTTCTATGATCTGTTAAGTTTGCCAGTCTTACAGTCTGCTCATTTAGACCTTTTGATCGCATGGTGCTAGCAGTGGCTTGTACTCATGCTGTGTTAATTTGGCGACTTGACAAACAAAACCTGAATATTCGGTTTGTTAAAATATATTTTGCTATATCAAATAGTACTTACATGAGTGGAAAGTAGTTTGCATAATTCTCATTTCAGGCCATCAGTCAACTGCGCGGATGTTATCGAAATGTCATCACTTGCTCCAATCATGCAGTGTTTGTGGGATTCTGTTTTTGATCAAGCTTTATTTGTTGTTTCGGCATCATCATCATGCTTGCAGGTATTTCATTCTCTGCTTGCAGGACATCTCATTTGGCTATTAGTCGTAGAACTTTTGAAGTTATCCAAAATTTTAGAAAAGAACTCTGATTTTTGCTGGATTTTTTT